CTCCAGTCATGGAGTCAAGTTTAAGAGGCAGTGTGGGAAAAAATGGAAAGACTGTATTCAATCAGGCTTGAATTCAAACCTCAGGGCTGGACATTCTGCTCTTGTGACTCTAGGCAATATGTTGGATCACTGTAAGATTCAGGGTTGCCCTCTGTGAAATGGGTATGTGAATTCCTGCTCCTCAGAGATACTGTGGGAAAGAGACTTAAGACGTGAGGACTCAGCCCATTGCCTGGCAGAGCGAGCGCTCAGGAAGTGGTGGCCATTCCGTTAGTCGTTCGCCAGTGATGCTCCTTGAGTTAAAGCCTGCTGTTGCTGACCAAGGTGGGACATCTTCTGGAGCAAAGACAGGCAACTTCAGACTGCACTTCCTCTTCCGGCTTGCAGAGTGATGGCTGCACAGAAGTGGCTCGTAACTTTCCATCTTCTTTGAACTTGGCCTTCCTCTTGTGTCCGTCTGGAGTGGCCCCAGCCGAGCCCATCACCCCTTCCCCTGTATTCCACGGTTTCCTCGGCCTCTTCTCAATATGAGGCTATCACCTCAGGACATAATGACCTGTTTACTAGACCCAGAGTTTCTTACTCGTCTGCCAAAAGTTTGCTGAATGAAAAGTGAAACGGAATAAACTATGTTGGAGGACATACCCTAAGGGGGGCTGTTTGCAGGTGTCTCCAATCTGATGGGCGTAAATTAGGCCAAAGGGACTCTGAGGGGACCTGTAGGGAAAATCCACTGGGGAGATTTCTCCTTATTGGGATTTTGCTCCATATGACCAGAATTTTCTGGCAAAGGGAGTCCTGAGCCAGGAAGACTGGATATGTGTGTGCATTTTGAGCTTGAAGGACGCTCTAAGTCCCTTTCATTCATTTATAATGCTCCTAGTGAGAGCTGCCATTTTCTTTTCTTTTTTTTGAGTTCTGGTAAATTTATTCAGTTGTGTAATCATCACAATATTCCAGTTTCGGAACACTTCCACCATCCCCCCAAATTTCCCTTGTGTCCAGTTGCAGTCTATCCTTGTTCTTACCCCTAACCCCAAGCAAATACTGATCTTTCTGTCTCTATAGTTTTGTCTTTTCTAGAAATTTCATATAAACGTAATCATACAAGATGGAGTCTTTTTTTGTCCAATTTCTTTCACTTATCGCAGTGTTTCTGAGGTTCATCCATGTTGTACGGATCTCTCCAGCCTGACCGGCCAAAACTCAAACAGCTCCCAACCGTGTGTGAGCACTGGGGTTTGTTCTCTGAGAGGACTGCCATTTTCCATGTGTGGGGCCTGTGTTGGGACCACGGCTTGGATCCCCCGTGCAGCCCAAGGTGGCAGGTTCTGTCTAGAGCCCCACTAAGCGGACGAGGAAACCGAGGTCCCCAGGAGGCAAGTGATGGGAGTGAGGGCAGAGAACAAGAGTGGGAGAGAACCAGGACCAGGCCTCCTGTCCCCAAGGCCTGGACTCTTTCCCCCACACTGGTTAGGATCAAGTCTCTAACAGGTGATGGTGCAGTGCTGGGTTCGAGGATAAACGAGGAAATCAGAACCGATTCCATGAGACTCCCCAGCTCCGAGAACAATTCAACTGTGCAACCCCACCCAAGTCACTCTACTTCTCTGTGCCCAAGAAGAAGCACCTAGTCAGTTAAGAAAAATAATAAGTATTATCAATAATAGTAGTAGCTAACATACCTGTTTACATGATTCTAAGCACTTCCTATGTGTTACCTCCCTCAGTCCTGCGGGGTAAGTCAGGGTTAGTTAGGGGAAGAGCGAGGACAGAGCAGTGAAGACAGTGGAGCCATACGGCTGCACGGAGCACAGTGGCTTCAAGAAGCTGAGAAGGAAGTCGGCGAGCCCAGAACATGGCAGGGCGGGGTGAGGTGGGGAGAGATGCGCAGGGGCCAGACCTCGGAGGCCCTGCGCTAAGGAGTGTGGCTTTCATCCTGAGATCAAGGAGGCGTCTGTTACCCGCTGCCACCTGCGCCACCTCCGTATACATTGTCCTTTCTCACATTCGGTCTATTATCTGTCTTTCTCCTTTTTTGTACCATGAATTTCCTAAGGGTAAGAACTGGGTCTTATTTATTTTTGCCTGTCTGGTGCCTAGCACAGAATCAAGTGTATATGGGCACTCAATAAATGATTGTTAATTGAATATTTCATATGTTCAGTACTCAGCAATACTAAAGGGTTTAATATTTAATAACTATCCATATTATACATTTATTATATATAGATATCAGTATCTATAATATAACTTCCATTATGCAGGCATTTCTGCTATAAAATGACAAATGCATTCCTAGGAAACCTTGCATTCTGAAAAATCCAAAAATCACTGGGGCACAGTTGGGCCGCAGCAGAGCGCTCACAATTCACGCAACTCTGAAACAAAGCACAGTCCTCGTGATGATGCTGGCACCGTTCAAAGGGCAGGCTAAATGCTGAAATGAAAAAACAAAAAAATGACTTTAGGACCTGAGTAACCTTAGGGCTATATTTTCAAAACCAAAACAGGGACTTGGATGGAAGGGGCGAGAGCAGGGTTGAAGCTGTTGGGTTATAGAGGCAGAAGAAGACAGATCGCTCTATCAGAAGTTCCAGGCGGAAGAGCACTTGCAGACTTTGCCAGAATGTCGCAGGGATGGACGGGCTGGCCCACGGCCTTTGCACAAGTGTCAGGGAGAAGTGAGCCACAAGAGGATCTAAGACTGAGCAGGTGGGCACGCCGAGCCGAGAGGTGGAGCGAGTGGGCATCCGGACAGTGAGGAGCCCTCCGGGGCTTCCCACACTCAGCCGTGTCAGGGTGCTTTGCTACCATCACTTGGTGGTGAAACATTAATGTGCTGGGAACACCTGCCTATGAACCAGTGCGACCCCCACATTTTATTGCCATTGTTCCCCTATGTACATTATCTGCACTGATCTGCCTCATAGAAGCAGTGCATGAGAATGAACAATATATAACACATGACTAACACAAACCAAGAACGCCAGCCGGCCAGTTTACATCGAGAAAGGTACCCGTCATGCCCCCTATGGGGGTTGTAACCCATCTTCCTCTTGGTCCACGAGTCGATTCAGGAAACCCATTCTGTGAGCAGAGTGTAGAGCAAGACCATACGCAGTTGGGTGACACAGCGAGAGCATCATAAACCTGTGATGTGATCTCTTTCCCCATCAGGAGCAGTTGAGCTCTTACCTCTGGACTGGAATCAGAGGACCTCAATCCCAGCCTGCCTGAAAGCTGGGTGACCTCAGGAAAGCCACTTAACTTCTCTGTGCCTCAGTTTCCTCAATTGCAAAAGCACTAGTGATACTTTCCAAGTTCTTTTAAGGAGGAGATTAGCTAGTGGATGGAAAGCTCTTTCTAACTATAAGGGATTTACAGAGTGTCGTCATTCCTGCAAGTCATTGCCTGGAATACTCAGGTTAGCTTGCCTCCCGTCTCCCACAGGATGGTTAGTTCTAAGGGCAGTGGGCAGGACAGCAAACCTCCCTGGAATCAAAATAAATTAATCTCTGGGATTAAATACAGAAGCTTGAATTCCCCTGCAGGAAGAAGGCCCAGAACTTCTAGACAGGGACACTGTGCCGGCCTTTGATAAAAGTGCGGAGGAGGGGAACCCCGCCTTCGTTGTCCAACGCCTCCCTCTCTGAGCGCTCTCCAGTCCCGCCTGGGACCCTCCCTCTCCGGGGCCTGGGGCCTCTCCAGCCCTTCCCTCCTCCGCTCCCACCAAGCAGGGCCTGCCTGCCCCTTCAGCCTCTCATTTTGCTTCCCAAAATAGTGTGCAGTCGAAGGGCACACCAGCCTGGGAATCACAGGCATGTGGGTGTGGATCCACTGCACCACTTACCAGTTCTAAAACCATAAGTGCCAAGTGGGGGCTTCTTGAGCCTATTTCCCCACCTGGAGAATGAGCTTCGACTTCCGGGCTGACTTATAAATGCACACGTTGCAGATTTTGGTGTGCCCAGGCATCACCTGAGGAGCTTGTTCGGCTTCCAGAAGGCTGGGTGGGGCCCAAGAATCAGCCTTTCCAACCAGCTCCCAGGTGATGCAAGTTCCCCTTGGAGTAGCAAGGAAATGGACCAAGTGTCGAGGGCCCGGGGCCTGGTAAGCAGTCAGCAGAAACTATTGCCATCAAGATGATTTTTCCCCTACTCAGAGGCTTCTCCTCTGAGAACAGGGATAGACGAATAGAGAAACGTCCGCTGGCCTCTGAATTCTTAGGGAAACAAGAAAAAACAAGTTTTGCTTGAAAGTCGGGCTGGGCGTGGGGCGTGAGGAGCAGAGCGGCCTCCACGCGGCTCAGCACGCTGCTACACACACACACACACACACACACACACACACACGCACACACGTGCGCTGCAGGTGGGCCTCTGCCGGCTGCAGAAACCTCTGGAGCTCAGGCCTCGACTTGCCATGCTGGGAACGCGTCCTCGGAGCCGGGGCACACGCCTTGTTCCTCCGGCTACAGCTCTCCTGAAGAATTTTCAGAGCATCCAGGGCTCGCTTGGCAGGAGTCTCCCAGGATATAAATACGCATTTGGGGCTTTTGTTTTCCAAACTGCAGTATCTTTTTGACTTGAGGGCTGTGCATGGGGCTGTCCCCCTCGCCTCATCAAAATGGAACCAGAGGCGGCCCGCCACTGCTAGGAACAGACTGCAAAGACTCCAGGAGACCCAGAGTGAGGCTCAAGAGGCCTCCCCCACCATCAGCTCTTGCTTTTAGTTTCGCTCTTCTCACAGGCCTGCTTCTCAAGCTGCTGACTCACCCAGGGTGAGGGTCTTTTGTTTTTCCTTTCGGAATCGCCACAAAGCCCAGAGATTTTGAGGTTGGTTTAATGAGCAGCTCAGCTCGGTCCTGGACCATCTCCTTTTCCTTTCTCCTCCCCATCTCCAGCCCGGTCTCCCAGTGCCTCAGTCCTGCCAGAAAAGGGAGTTGGACACCCACTTGCTCTGCCTGGCTTTTAATATTGGGTTTCTCTTCTTTGTAGGTCTCGACGCACTGGCTGCTCTCGGAATCAAAGTGTAGAAAGATTCCCAGGATGTAAGCAATACGGGATTGGTGAGTGACGGTGTGTTTGATGGAGGTTGGGGTCTTGGTCTTAAAGGAGACCAGTGGGAGGGGCAGGGGGAGCTGGGTTTTGCAGCTCTGAAGCTGTTCCCTCCAGATGCACCCGGAGACGCCACAGTGCAGGCAATCAAGGGGTGAGTCCATTGGAATTCACTGGGTCCCTGCCAGTCCCTCCCCAGAAGCAACCTGAGCTGGCAGGTGGCTGGACCATCCTCTCTCTGATCAGATGAGGGCAGCTCAGACTCCCCATCCAGCGGGCATGTGCTTGGCATCATTTTCAGGGGACCTCTAACCAGGGTTAGGGACACGCTCTGAGAACAGAGAGGGAACTACTTGGCTCACACTAGTTTGTAAACCACAGCCCTGAGGAGACATGTCTAAAGAGAGGCAAGAAAGCCACCGTTGCACATTGAAAGGACTGTCGCTGACGAGAGGAAGGGGGGCAGCCATTGACTCAGCCTAAGGACAAATTCCTAACTAAAGAGGTACGCAAAGGTGAAATAGGCGTCCATTAGAAGTAGTGAGTTTCCTGTCACTGGCAGAATTCAAGAGCAGGTTGGAGAAACGTTGAAGTGGGGAGTGGTTTTGACTGGGGCAGTGCTTTATGGTCTGTTCTGTGATGACCCAGAACCCCCGAGGGGCTGTAGGTAAAGGAGAGGCTGAGAGGGACTGAGGGGAGCGTGGCACTCACGCACACACTATCAGCACGGCCTGTGTTCTGTGTCAGGGTTCTGCTGTTAAACTGTTTAGAAGCTTCTGGATGAGGTGACCCTCAAGTCTCTAAGACCTGTGGACCATTGGCCAGCTGTACCTGAGCTAACGCCAGACAGCCTCACCTATCACAGGTGTGACCCCAAACACCTGCTGTATGTGAGGGGGTGGGCAACTCTCCAAACACCAGAGGCTCTGGAGAGCTCCCCCACCAGGATCACCCGAAGAGTTACCAGCTTGTCACGCTGGCCATCGAGGGATCTGGCCCAGGATCCGGACCACACAGACTAGGAGAAAAGGGATGGGAACGCTGTGACAGGACTCCCAGACCCCTGGCTGTGGGAGGACAGTGAGCATGACTTCCCCAAGGGAGTCAGGGCCCTTGGATGGGGCAGGCCCACAAACTCGAGTGACCAAGACCTGGTTCACTGAGCGTGAGAAGAATGGCACCCAGACCTGGCTGGGGCAGTTGTGCAGAAGGGACACCACTGCAAATGGGAGGGTCTGAATGACAAGTGCCGGCTTCCTCTGTGCTCTGTGACTGGGTCTGCTTGCCCTGGGCCTGGGCGGGTGGCAGCAGGGATATTTACAAGGGCCCCTGAGGGCCGGCGCCGTGGGAGGCCAGAGAGGGTCTTTAAGAAACTGACAACCTGGATGAGAAGCGAGTTTGACAGTCCTGGGCATAGGCTGGATGTTCAGCCGAGTCTGGAGCGCGGTGTGGGGGCGGGGAAGGAGGCAGAGGGGAGGACTGACTGGTGCGTTTGAGCCCTGACTTGGTGCTTCCTTGGCAAGTCTTCAGGCACGAGTTAGGTTTGAGGATGGGACTATGTCCTCGATTCACCGCACCTGACACAAAGTAGGTGCTCAGTAAGTGACTGTCGAATGACTGAAAGGGAAAGCAGCCTGGGAAGGTGATGTCTGTGGTTAAGAGCAGACTGCCCGGGTTCAAATCCTGCCTCTCCCGCTAGCTGCAGGGCCTTGGGCACGATGCCACCCTCTCTCTGCTTCCATCTCCCTGTCTGTAACACGGATATAGTGACACTATGTACCGCACAGCGTGGCTGCAAGGATTCAATGAATTAATTCGTGTCAAGCTGCTTGGCCCTGTGCCAGCACATAGTAAGTAGTCAGTAAATATTAGCCCTTATTCTTGTTCTAGATGTGGGACATGGCCCCAGGTGAAGAGCAGGAAATAGCAGTGTGGGTCAGAGGACAGAGCACTAGGCTGGGAATCAGAAGCCCAGACTTAGCTGTGGGGAGAGGCTGGAGGAAGCAGTGCCTCCCCCTAACACTGTCTAAAACAGAGATGCTGGTGGTCAAGGGTGGCTCCCTTTTTCCTGCTCTCCCTCTCATGGTCCGTGGTGGTCCTGGCACTGGTAGAAAGGCAGGGGCTGCGCAGACATTTATTACCAGCTGGGGTGCCTCATGGAGAGTGGTTTGACTTCTCAGGACCTCCTTTCCCCCAGTGAATGAAAAGCCAGTGAGGGCCTCCCTCCCTGGCAGAAGCGGTCTTGAAAACTGAAAAGCCTGGTATGAGAGAAAGATCCTGTCGGTACAGAGGGAAAATCACATAGGGCTCGAGCGTGGCCAGCACAGTCTCCAGCCTCACGGTCCATGTCGGTTCCCCATCCCTTCCCCGGTGAGGGCTGGCTCCCTCCTCGGCCAGAAGTCAGATTCTCAGAACGATGCCTCACTTTGCAAAAGCCACCACCCCAGGACTTGGAGCATATTTCAGATAAAAATTGCATTTGCCTGAAACATTGGTCAGGGTCACTTCTCTTGCGTTAGTAGGAGACCTGAGTCCATAGAAGGACCTTGCTCTGGCCTACCTTCTCCTCCTCTGCTCCTCACAGCGTGACCCCCGCTGGACAGTAAGATTGACATATAAGCCAGAATCGTTGATGGCATAAGCACAGCCCCTGTGCTTATGGGGTCTTAAAAAATATCACTCATACCAGTCTCCTTTGCCCAAGGAACCCCCTAACATCTACCAAGTCACCCCACTTTTACTTCTGCCTTTTGTGGGAAGGGGACGGGTGTGAGGTGACATTTCCTGGGGCAGCTTTGAAGGCAAAGCAGTCAGAGGAAAGAGGTCACAATTCCTGGCCCCGTCAGTCATGCAGGATCCCTCAGGTTCTGTTCCACCTCTATTCAGATGAGACGACTGGGCAAGGTCAGGGGTGGCAAATAAATTTCTTCTGCCAATTGGCCATGGCTGCCAGAAGCACTGTCTTGAGAAGGGTTCTGAGGCCTGTGCAGGAAAGAGTATGCTACAATGGATTAGTGATGTCTGCTGAGAGGGCAAGAAGGAGGACTGTAGCACATGTGCCACTTTTTGGCATCCCTGGACGAGGCAATTTCGAAAGCCCCTTTCTGCTCTCATACTTTGTGGGTTGGTTTATTTGTTTTTGCTGAGGAAGATTGGCCCTGAGCTAACATCTGTGCCAGTCTTCCTCCACTTTATTTGTGGGTCACTGCCACAGCAAGGGTGACGGAGGGGTGTCGGTCCACACCAGGGATCCAAACCCATGAACACCAGCCGCTGAAGCAGGGCACACTGAACTTAATCACTACACCATGGGGCCGGTCCCTCACACTTTGTGGTTTTTGCATCAGCAGCCTTGTTTCACATCAACAAGGCAAAGCACAGCAAAACCTCATTAATCTGGGCTACTTGAGGACCAAACCAAGTGAGAAGTCGTAATCTGAGGAGGCCTCCAGCATGCCGATGAGCTTTATTACCTTTCAGCGCACGAAGTCAGCTCAGCCCGGCCAGCTGACTGGGGTAATGCAGGGCCACACAGATCTGTGCTCAGCAGCTCTGACCACATGGCTGAGTGCGCCTGACCTGTACTTCTAGGGTACTGACTCTGTATTTCTGCTGAGGATGGATACCACCGAAACTCCAACAAAAGCAGGGCATTTTTTGAAGTAGAAAATTATTCAATGGGCAGCTTTGCTTCTATTTCATATTGCTAGGGAATTTGAATTAAAGAGACTTGGCTGTGCTAGCTGAGAATAAGCTGTTTTCACAGAGTTATGGGCAGAAGATGAGACAAAATAGTCCAGAACTAGATTTCCCCTGAGTTCCCAATCTGTAAAATGGGGAAATAATACCCCTTCCAGGCTCTTCGGGAGAGTAAATGGGATAAGATGTGGAAGAGACCTAGCAGGCGGTCTTGCTCCCAAAAGATGGTCAAAAAAATGCTATTTCTTCTCCCATCTAAATTCACCCTGAAAGCACAGCTTTCTTCTTGCAATATGTTCAAGAAAATGATGTTGCAGATAGATTTTTTAAAATAGTATCTTTCTTTTCAAATGACTCCTGTTAGTTTTTCAGAGGCTCTTCATTTTTGCTCTTGATGATTCTTCAGTGGGAAAGGTCCACTTAAACCTTCAACTCTCAGTTTTCTGAGTGGAGGCGCCGATGCTCCCAGGTCCCTGACACGCATGTGCGCGAATGCTCCTGTAAGGGTTTCTCTGAGGGGACCAAACCGCATGGTGATTAGGCCACCGCCACATCTCCCCTTGAACTCAGCAAGCGTCAACATTCCGATTCCACTCCCACTCTAGGGAGAGTCCAGACAGCGAAGGTGATTGAACACCAGAATGATACCAACTGAATTTGAGTGGGAGCTTGCCCAAAGGATGGGACTTGACTTGTTAAAAGTGGGTAAGAAGTTTGAACTGTGCCCTACTCCCCTGCCTGAGGAACCACCAGCCTCCATTCGCCCCCGCCCCAGGAGAGGGCATGGCCAGCAGCCATCCCACTCTCCCACAGGCAAGGGAAAGAGGAAGGAGACCCCCGTCCTGCCCTTCCCTTCTTCCCACTGAAGCTCCACCCCCTGGTGTGATGACTCTGTTACAGGTCCCTCCCTTTATCCCTGTCCAGCCTCTGACTGTTAGCTCCTGAGGGTGGAGCTGAGGGCACCCTGGGGCAAGGGGCAGGCCTCAGGTTGGAGGGCATGGCCAATGTAGGTTCCTCCCTGGGAGCTGTCACCTGGAGGCCTGGGCAGGCAGGGGTGTCACATCACTCCAAGCTCAGAGCACGTCCAACAGCTTCCTCTGCAGCCCTCATGCCCTCTCTGGGCTCCCACAGACCTTACCGTCCACACCACCCGGTGTGAGGCAGTCCTGCAGAGTGGTTAAGATGCACCCGGGAGCTGGACTGGCTCGGCTGGACTCCCAGCTCTACCTCTGCTAGCCCTGTGATCTTGACCAAGTTATTTAACTTCTCTGTGCCTCAGTGTCCTCATCTGTAAAATGGGCCACCTCGTAGG